ACACCCACCTCGCTACAACCTCCTTTCAGGTAGTTGTAGAGAGCGATGAGGTCTCCCCTCAGCCTCCTTTTCTCCAGGCTAAACAACCCCAGCTCCCTCAGCCGCTCCTTGTAAGACTTGTTCTTCAGACCCTTCACCAGCTTCGTTGCCCTTCTCTGACATGACCACTGTCAGGATCAGGAGAGGTTCCTAGGTGTCAGGGCTGCCTCCGCAAACAGGGGAGGAGGATGCAACTGGACTAGTTTTGTGTGAGTGAGGACTCTGGATTTTCTGGAGGAAGCACGGCATCCTCTTGAAGCATATTCCCCACCTTCACCCCAAAAGAGCGCTGCCTCTTTACTGCAGGAGGAGTTTTGCCAGCCCACCTAAGAGGGCATCTCAGGCTGACCCGCATCCCTCAGGAGGGCATGTGCTTACCCTGGGTGCATTGCTTGCTTGGTATCTCAGCAAGGCTGGAGCTTGAGTCCATGGGCTGCTGACTTCTAATATCAGACAGATCCCATGGTTCTGCTGAGAGACTCCTAGTGCCTTTGGGAGATGGGCCACCTGGCAGACCAACGGACAGATAAATCTTTGCAGTATTGGGAAGGTGGTTTGCTCTTAGGCATTTCAAAATTTATGTTTCCCCCCAAAGGCTTTCATAGGTTTCAGGTCCATCTGCCCTACGCTTTTCTCTTTACCTCTTACCAAAGAAACTTCATTTCTTTGGTGTGGCAGAAGAGCTAACATACAGCAACAACTTTTCCACTTCAGGCAAAATCCAAAGGTCCCTTGAAAACTCTGCCACTGTACCAAGAAAATGATACTGCACTCTCGTGCCAGGTGCATACTGCTGGGGCTCAGAGCATGGGCTACCTATGTTCACTCCCTTCAAGAGTCACTTATCTCAATCCTTGATCTAGGCAGATGAGACCTGAATAAACTTGCTGAAAAAAAAGTCAGTATCTCTATAGCCTTTCCAGCTGGTTTAAGTAGGCTATGTATTTTTTCTGGGCAGGCAAAGCCTTGCACTTCCATGAGGAAGTCAATACTTGCACTGCTGCTGGCACAAGAACTCCAAAGTGAAAATTAATAAAAATGAGCTCATAGTACATTAGTTCTTGGAGAGTGCCTTGGGGATCGGGGGTTTGGCTCACCACTATCTACAGCTTATATGCATGCCCAGTATGCATCCAGCTCATACCAGGGGAAGAGGGGAGATGACTGAAGCCATGGTGTGCCAGGACTCTGTCCGGGAGAGGAAAACTTGACATATGCAGTCCAGTTCCTATAACTACCCTAGAAATTTTTTCCAGGAGTGGAATTTAGAGGCTGTGGCTAGTCTGCAGGGAGATGTCTTTCTCCCTGTTTGGTGAGTAGGGCCACCAGTACCTTATACCACTAGGGACTGGCTCTGACCTCAGCCTGACAAATGATCAGTGAGGCTTGCCAATCATGCACCGTTCAGTAACTCATGAAGATCAGGAGGGTGAATAAAACACATCCCATCAATGCCTTTGCCACACTCCAGCATGGCTTTATTCAGTCAGAAGTCATTAAGACAAAAAGTCCTCTACAAACTTGGTGATTTGCCATCCATCATCCATCCTTCAGCACGTACAATTCATTCCAGCCACACTTCACCCGGTGCGGGGGCTTGGGTGCTCTCCCTTAGCTGTCTCTCCCGTTCTCAAACCTGAGTGCTTGTGAGCAAATGAAATAGAATTAGCAGGTGCAGGTGCAACCCTTTCAGTCCCAAGGGTAAGCCTGAGAGTTGCAGATCATGGAGGGACCGAGTTTGAGTCACTACGTAACATACTGCTGCTGCTAACAATGATGAAGACAATGATGACATAATGTACAGATTGTAGGAACACTTTCAGTGATCAACTGAGTGTGGACATCAGGCTCTCATTATCTGATAGAGTAACAGCGCTAACAGCAGCTGATTACACTGTAACCTTTACTTTGCTAAGGAACAGTCTATATCTTAGAGAGCATTTGCTTGAATGTGAATTAGGGAATGGAAGAGGATTCAAGAGCTGAATCCTAACCAGCTTATGTGAAAAGCACCTTGATTTCAGAGAGACCTCTGCAGTCTGCAGCAAACTCCGTGAAGGCTCTTAGCTTTACTTCATCTGTATGGTGTCCTAATAGAGGAAAATGTGATTTGTGTTTTCTCCTCTGTGGTCCCAGAGCACTGGTTGTTCCTTACATTTCTATCCCTATAAAAGCAAATTGCAATTCTAATTACAAGTGAATGCATTAAGGGAGCATTGCAACATGGGGAGCCAGTCTCCATTTCCTTATCATTTTCTTAGGCCTGAGGTGTGGATCCCAGTTATACTGGTTTTGTAGTGGGTACATGTATCACTAGGAGCACAGAAACCACATCAGGGTGGACTGGGCTATCTGCAGCAGGGGCAGAGCTGGGAGCTGCTGGGCGTATCCAACCACAGACAGAAGGGCAAGACCCAGCTCTCCTGCGGCTAGTAGTCATATAGCCCAAAACTGCAGCTTTTGATACTAGATGTTCCCAAGCAAATAAAGTTTGGGAACCCAGTTCAACCAGCCACAAGGTCTTGGGGAGGCAGGAGGGCTTCATGGGGGTCAGAAATGTTCCTTTTATAGCAAATGAGCCTCCACACATGCAGAAGTGACCTGTGAGCGGAGCAGCTTCAGCTAGGGCTATATGTGTCCTCACTGTGCAAATTCAGCAGCCACCACGACCTTTGAGCAGCCCTGAGCTGGATGCAGAGTGAAGGCACCCCGGGGCAGGGGCCTCAGGTCCCTCGATGCCCCAGCTGCAGCACGGGCAGCATTGGCTACCGGGGTGGGGGGGAAGCAAGGGCTCGATGCAGAGCATCTCCAGTGCCACCAGACCATCACAGGAACAGATGGACCCCCAGCAGCAGGTGAAAACTGCACTCCGCTGTGAAGGCCATTAGTACATCTGCTCTGAAACAAGCTCATTAAAATACACATTCACCTTCATTATCCTGCAGCTGCATTGCCTGACTCATCCCACTGCAGTCACTCTGAAAAGGGAACCCAAGGTAAAAATTTTCCCAACTTGGTTTTTATTCACCGGGGAAGCTCACGTCTAACCCACTGAGAGAGCAACGGAAGCCATAACAACATCTGTCTTCATGGGAATGAAAGGGAACCTGAAAAAAAGAGGGAGGAAACAAATGCTGATGTGTTGTTTCATGTTGCTTTTCACAGTTTGACACAGGATGCTTTCTCGCATCGGTGTAGTTAGTGCTCACTAACTACTGTAGTTAGTACTCCAGTTGGGGCATGGCACCCCCAACCCAGGTGTGCCAGTGGCATTCCCTCCTTTCCTCCCCTTTTTCCACAAAAACCACAGAAAACTGCCACGTAGCCATGGCTTGGCAGACATGGCCTTGCAGCAGGCTTTGGCTGGGATCCCTGCTCTGACTCCTGATCACACTAAACCTTTTCTTCTCCCCAGTGGCAGACGGTGGCTTGCACTCAGCAAAACTTTCTTGCCAGCATTGTTCCTGGACACAGACCCCTCCTAGGTGGCACATGGATGGACACGGTGTGCCGAGGGTTTGCAGACTCCTCTGACGGGCCAGGGGATGCTCTGCCCTGCGCCGATTTCCTGCTCCCCCAGCTCACGGGGGGCAGAGTGTCCTGTGGCCCCTCCGTCTCCTTCACACACAGACAGTGCTTAAAGCCACGTGTGTCCCCAGCCTCCCCCTGCCAAAATGGAAACCTCACAGCCTCAGCCCACCTCATCCAAGCCGGTGACTTTCTCCTGCGCTTTTATACACAGGCATGCTCTCACCATACATTGCTTTTAGCTGCAAGAAAATTTCTCCCTCTTACTGGCTTGCTCTTAAAGACTGCCTTCCCAGGCTAAACATCCTTTGCTTTAAATAGACGGGGTGACCCAAATACTATTGTGAATGATTATTCAAGGATGAAGTACAGACTCTAGTCCAATGTTTTTTACAAGACAACTTAAATCAATACGATCTTTCTGATTAGTAGTTTCTAGGAAACCCGTATGCTACATCATCCCTATTACATTCATCATTTGGCTCACTTTTGCTATATTTGTTCATGCGGTACATTATCAAGCGTCTGAAGCGTTTGCTCTATTGTCCTCTGGACCGCACTGACTTCTTCTAGAACAAAGTGTAGCTTAGAAATCCTCTGCTGTGGATTTTTGTAATGAATATTTTACAGTAAGCCACTTGTTACTAATGAGCCCAATTTTACTTGTACAACTCTTTTTATAACCTTTACTCTTAAAAAATAATTGGGAAAATTTACAATTGTAATTGAAGTGTTTATTAACTGATGGCCTACTTGCAAGATTTCACTGAACGCGGCATTGCAATTCAGGCCATTTTTCAGCTTTGTATAGGAAAAAACCCCTGCAAACATGGAAGCCAACATTTTTCACAGCACCTCTGAATATTCTTTTTTACTGTAGACTGTCTACTGTAGTATAGCAATGATTTCAACAGAAAGTATACTGAAAGCCTGAAATCTAAATCTAATTTAAAGTCTAAATGATGCACTTGATTAAAAATGTATTGTCTATTCCCAGCAAATCATATATTGAAACACTAATGTTTCCCTAATTTTAAGCACCATCTAGTGAGTCAAACATTAGATCTGATCTTCCAAATTACAGCTGAGAAAAATAAGATCATGGCTTGACTGCATCCCACCTAGTGCTAGGTCTGTTCCTGAGATTCATAAGTCAGTTGTTTAGTCACTGCCTGCTCTCTTGCTAATGGACATTAAATATTCCTCCAAAGGCGCTGAAGACCCGAGCTGCCGTCTGGAGATAATTTGTCTGTTGACAAAGGAGGGTACTGGCTGAGTAGGCTCCCTAGTTAGACAAAGCTAACTGCTAAAAGTGGAGCAGGGAGAAACCTCATTTCGATAACGATAATCTTTTTTTTGTCACACCAGGGCAAGGGACTGGAAAGGATTTGGCTTTATTTCAATTATAAGTGAAGAAAAAAAAGATCTCTGGGCAAATAAACAGCTTTATAAGGATCATGATTCTTACGATTTCTATTAGCTGGCTTGCCATGAAGATGAAGTAGGTCTGAGAGGGAATCGCACAGCAAATCTGCATGCAATTATAGGACCTGCTTATCCGGCGCTGGTATTAAATCAGCTCAGTTAAATCAGCACGGGCTCCTGTGGCAATGCGCTGTAATCAGCTGGCAACTGACCTGTATAAACTGCAGCCCGTGCGCAGAATTCGTCTGGAGAGCAGAACCAGTTTGGTTAACATGGCATCATGCTGGGCGCAGGCACAGACGTTCAGCCTGAGCCTCATTTGGCCTCTCTGAAGTTACAGTGCTTGCGGTCAGTGCTGTGCCGGCAAAACCGGTGCAAGCCTGGGCAGTGTCTGGCCTGGCCTTGCTGGGGGAGGGGAAAAGGCATGTTGCCTCTCCCTGCAAGTGCATCACTGGATGGGGAGAGCGAGCGTGTTTTGGCTGCTGCTGGCAATACCTACAGTTGCCCAAGCCACATCTCTGTGGCATCACAAGGCATCCCTTTCCTCCTTCCTCCCCACCGCCCGTACATGTCATTTTGCTAGCAAAGGGGAAGTTTTTTTAGCAAGAACCTGATTTATGGTCTATAATGTCATGATGGAAAGTGGATTCAAGTAGTAAATCAATTTTCAGAGCTATACAGCAATGAAGAACAATGTTTTTGGAGTCCTTCCCCATAAACAGAACAGAGCATGTGTAGGTACCATCAGTCTGCTCAGCAAGACAGCTTAGGGTCACTAGAACAGTCGCACGGCATGCATGGTCCCCGCTAGGATCCAGTCAGCTCCCAAACACCCCTCGATTACAGCAGTGAGCCAGAATTTCATGACATCACGCAAATAAATATAAGCAAATACAGTAAAAAGGCTTTACCTTTGGCTTGAGCAAAAGGTGAAATTGTTCAGTCCTGAGGGATCCTCCTCTGCCCCCAAGTCTGCTGGCTCATGATGCAGTAAAATGGTCTGGCATTTATCAACCCTGTCAAGCTTTGCAAGTCCTGAGCATGTTTAACCTGGAAAGAAAGGTCTCAGGAGGAGATTCCTGAACACCTCCACCCAGAGTTACGCAGGGAAAAAAAAGACAAATAAAAGCAAGCTTTAAGAGGTCAGAATGTGTAGCCTGCCCAGAGCTACTATTCCTGGTAGAAATTAGACCCTGAAGGGCCCAGGTGAAAATCGGGGATAATCCCCATATACGTGCTTCTAATTGGGACAAACTGAAAGTGAGAAAGCTGAGCAAGTCAGCTCCGGCCCATTCCCGGGGGCTCCGCGTCTGTTCCCAGCTAGTAACCGAGAGCACAATTATGCAAAGCCTCCTCTATAAACAGATTTCGGTTTATTACGGCCGAACCGGGGGAATCTATTTTTGTCACTGCTTTGTGTGAATGTGTTACCCTTGTGATTTCCAGTCAGGTCATTCCAAGTCAGCTGCTTTGGCTGCGGCTGTTGGTGGAATCTCCTCCGTCGTCCTGGTCCCTGGCCCCTTTGCTCGCCTGACTGGGGTCGGCTCCCGGGCAGTGGGGACGAGGGGATGCGCCTGCGGCTATTCTGGTAGCTGTGAGTTATGGCGGTGTCATGTGAAGCAAAGAGCCCAGAAATGCATGTCAAATCAAACCAGTGACTAATCATGATATTTTGGTTGTCTTAGTGCCTGCCGGGCAAAGAGTTATGGGCTTAGAAAATTTTCACGTAATAATCCCCGGGCGCTGATTCGATCTTCGGCTGAGGCTTCCTAAGGGAGTGCGAAAAGAGGACAAAAAGGGAACTACTGTCCCAGGGGTGGAGAGGTCTAAACTTATCTGAGTTTGAAACACAAACAAGAGAGGAGAAAAGCCAGCGCTCCCTTCTCGTCTGTGTCTGCTCAGAGCCATGCACTGGCAGCCAGAGAGGATCTATTTGATCTGCCTGCGGACCAAGAAGGGTCGAGGGAGACGGCTGAGCAGACATGAAGTGTCATTTGTTGGGATTGTCATCTAGCTCCCTCATCTGTCACCTGATGGCCAGCCAAGCAAGTGCTCAGCATAACCGTGGACCATTCATCCTTGCACAAGTGACGGAGGCGAGAAAAGTAAGCATCCTACAGCTGTTACAACATTCAGCTGTTTTTCCTATGAAGGAATGCATTGAATTCACTACAAATCTACTAACTGTCCCCCTATGCCAGGCAAGAGACTGATTTTTTTTTTTTTGGGGGTGGGTTTTTCTCTAACAGCTGGGGGTCTGGTGGGCATTCAAGCAATGGCTGTTGAGTCGGGCAGCTGTTTCAATATCTAATTGCATTCTAGCTTTAACAACTCAAGGGGAAAGCGTTGCATTGCCTACCATGAGCTACTTCCTGTCCTACTGCAAAGCGCACTGCACCGCTGTGCTCGCCCAGTACCAGACCCTGAGATCAGAGGGCTTTCTGTGCGATATTTTGCTGAAAGTGAAGGAAAATGAGTTTCCTGCACACAAGTCCTTGTTGGCATGCTCCAGCGACTATTTCCGAGCCATGTTCAAAAGTTACACCCGAGAGTCTAAGGCCAGTGTAATTCACCTGCAAGTCGTCTCACCCACCGGTCTCCAGCATGTCCTGGATTTCATTTACACTTCCTTGTTGCCTCTTTCCTTTGAAAGCCTGGAGGATACCTTGGAAGCTGCAAGCTACTTGCAAGTGACTGATGCTATTGGCTTGTGCAATCAGTACTTAGTTAACAATCTTGCCTTGGAAAACTGCTGCTTCTCCGCCAACGTGGCCAGGAAGTTCTACCTGCCGGATGCCTTAGCAGCAACAGAAAAATACATTGTTAATAACCTTTGGAAGCTGCTGGACTTGGATTTGACAGGACTGCTCGAGCTGAACTTCAGGTCTTTGCTAGCAGCGGTTGAATCACCAGATCTCCCCATGGTGAAAGAAACCCACCTGCTGAATCTTGTGCTGCTGTGGCTGAAGCAGGATAAATCCAGGCTGGCTCACGCAAGCAGCCTTTTAGAGCACATAAGGTACGGCCTCATCCCCCTGGAAGAGCTGAGAAAAACCTACACACAGTCAGAAGTGCCCCTCTCCGCAGGTATTAAGTGCTTGATCATTAAAGCAATAAATTACCATACATCTGTTTTCAAACAGCCTGTCCTGCAGGATAAGTCCACCACGCTGAGGAACCAGAAAACTCGGATCATTCTGCTGGGGGGAGGGACAGCAAGCGAGGGACTCGTCACCGATGTGGTGGCCTTTGACGTTTACAATCACAAGTGGCGAGCTCTCACGCAGGTGCAGGACAGGGTGCAGAACCACAGCGTGTGCGTGGTGGAGAACTTCCTCTACGTCTTGGGTGGGGAAATCGAAAGTGCTGCCCCGGGTGATGCTAAAACCGAAAAGATCTTATCGGTGACGAACAAGGTCCATCGTTATGATCCGAGATTTAACACGTGGACCCAAATCACGGGCATGCTGGAAAAGAGATGCCAGTTTTCTTGTTGTGTCCTAGGCAAGGATATCTTTGCCATTGGTGGAAGGGGTGAGGATGGGTCGCTGCATTCGTCTGTGGAAGTCTACAGCATCAGCAGGGACAGATGGACGAAGGCCAGCGAATTGCCATGCAAGATACATGGCCACGCCAGTGCCATCTGCAAGAATACTATATACATCTCGGGCGGCAAGTACTCGGACCCAGCCAACACAAGCAAGGACGTATATTCTCTGAGCTCGCTTGAAGGGCAGTGGATGAAACAAGCCCCCATGAGCATTGCTCGGTTTGGGCATCAGATGGCAACAATCAGAGAAGCCATATTCACCTTTTTAGGATTATATGAACCATTCTCTGAAATAGAAAGATACGACCCTGATCAAAACCAATGGACTCGGTTAAGACCACTGATGTATGATCGATTTTGCTATGGCCTGGCAGTGGTAGAGGAAACGGCTCTTCTTATCGGGGGAAAGAAATGGCAAAACTCACAGGAAGTCCCCACGCAAGACGTGGTTGGCTACGACATCGACAACGATGGCTGGGAAGAGATCTGCAAAGCCCCCTTGCCTTGGTGTGGGCTGCAGTGCGCGGTGCTGCAACTCTCTGAACTGGCCGACGAGCGGGACAGCAACAGCCAGCAGAAGAGGCCGCCAAACTATTGAGCTCAGGTGCTGCGGAATAATCATCCCAGGAGATGAGCCATCAGGGGGGTCCTGGAGAAGAAGAAAACTGCAATGGCACTGAACGTGACGGAGTGGAGGTTTTGCTTTGATAAGCCAAACGCTTGGTGGAAACAGGCAAGAAAGTCTGGCTCCAGCATGGGAGAAGGTGCTGGGATTTACAGAGCTGGAAGCTGATCTCACTGAGGAAGGATGTAGCAAGTAGCACATGTAAAGGTGACGAGCGAGAATCGTAATCCTTGACTTTTGAAGAATAATACCTAGATAGCAATTAGTAGGTGTTGCAAGTCAGATTTTTCAAAGGTTAAAAAATATAATCCACCTTTTCTGTCTTCTTAATCAGAAGTAATTTTCCCAGCTGGTAAGTGCTATTGAATTTTTATATGCTACGGCTAAGCAAAATGAAAGTGAGATGTATAAAGACTAGAAAATTGATGCCTACGAGAACTAATAATAAGTACCACCAAGGAAAAGGTATTATTTGATATGTTACATACTAGGCGAGAATATATTAGCTAACCAGCATGAAATTACTGGACAGAAAGCATGGATTTTTTGGTATGTAGACTCAGTTATGGCCAGGAGTTAAAACAGTGACTGTTTCATAGGAGCCACTTCTCTCCGAGTGGCCTTTGTTGTAGCATGCCTTTCAGATGCTTATTTTGCGTTATTTTAAAGACGCACACTACCGGTACAGTACATTTCTTTTGTATCCAAACCTTGTGTTAGTTTAGATGGCCGGAGCTGAATGGGTATGCTTATTATTAGACTCTAAAAAACATGTTACAGGAGTTGCTGTAACCAATGCCTTGATACTCACCGCGGCAGCATACGCTGCTTTATTGTGCCCGGTCATAATGGTAAAATTGCTCATGGGTGTTGAACTAGTACATGAGAGAATCCTGCAGTCAAAAAAGGTTTGCTTTCATCAAAGAGTACGATGGGGAGGGAGGTAACTGAAGGTGTTCAAAAGTCTTTATTCAGCGTCTGCCTACATCTGAAACAGCAATAGTCTTACTTCTTCTTGCCCATGTTGGCAGAGTTCGAAAGCACAGATTATGGGGGTACTTTAAGGTACGTGGATCTGTGAAATGCAGGCAAAACGGTCAGATGCCGCAGAATCACTTTGGGGTGGAGTAAATTGAATCTCGAGTCACAAATGTTCATTTAAAAGTTAAATTTATTGTACTTCATTTTACAGTGTTCCCTTTCTAGGCTGAGAGTTAATACAATAAAAATATATCTAGAAGAACATTTAATAGTCTTAAAAGAAGGCAGCACAACGGATAGGACACATGTTCTTTGTCACTAGACTAGCTTAAAAAACTGTAATGTTTAATTTTCACCTTTAAAGCAATCAAGCTGACTTTACTAATGTAAAGTGCAGGCAGAATAGCTGTTGCATAGCAACAGATCTAAGTCTTCTGAACTGCCTTGGTTTTGACAAGGAATCACCTACACAATGTGCATATACACCCATCAGATATAAAGAGGTTTTTATATGAATATATTTACTTTTGGTCCAGTAAAACAATAGCAAGAGAATCTAAATGCTTGGAACGATAGCACAATTGATTTCAAGTCAAGCATTTTTTAAGAGAAATTTACAAAAACCTCACAAATTTAATATACAAGTCAGTACCCATGCAGTAAATAAATGTCCAGTTTATACAAACAATATTCTTCTAATGGTACAAATATTACACTGGATCCAGAATTCTATACAAACGTTAATACATGATTCGTCATCCATATCAACTTGAATATAGGATTACTGAAAATGGGCTACAGAAAGGCCACTCTTTTGTACAATTGTGCAAAATCTGCAAAACATTTGCAATCCATATGCAATAAAATAACAAGAAAGAAAGAGGGAGGAATAAAAAGAAAGAAGGAGAGAGAAAATAATCTGTCCATTCTTTCCTTCATCCCTTCATGAATATAACTGCCGGGAAATATCAGAGCTCATAAAGTTTGAAGTACATTCACTGAGCTGCACAGGCAATAGTCTAAAGTTGGTAAAGAGTACAACTCACTGTAAAAAGTATAAAGGAGGCTTTTCTCTTTCACATGAGCATTATTAAATCATGTCGTGAGTCCTAACTTATGCAGCAAAATACTGAAAAGCAGCAGAAATATTTTGTCATGCTCTGATCACCTTTCGAAAACAAGCCCATAAAAAGTAAATACCTGATTTAAGATTCCCCTCCCACTATCCTATTCCAGGTATCTGCCTAACTCTAAGGAGCTATTGCTACTCGTATTCACTGGGTTGCCTCCAGCACATCTCAAATCTCATGGAAGATTAAAACATTTTAATTGGCTTGTGAACTCGGCGGAACCCAGAGACATCCCTTCCCCTTCAAAAGCAAACCAGAGGCTTTTTTACTCCGCAGTTATTTTTCAGGTTCTGTGCTCAGCTCTGCTCCCATCACACATTTTCCCTGCATACAATCCGGCCAAATTTCACAGCTCAGAAAACACACAGACGACTACTTGAAAAATCCTATTCATTCCTTTTCTATTGTGGGGATTTTCAAAGCCTCTCAGATTCGGAGCATTTCGTCGGGAACCTTTTCCACTGCTGCTTTTCTGGGCAAGAAAAATGCCGCTATCAAGGATGTTCAAAGTCTACATTTTCTCTTTTGCAAAATCTGCACATCATACTGATACCTTCAGTGCAAAAGCAGCATAAATGACAGTCCCATCACTAATTTTTTAAAAAATCAACCAAATGTGATTAAGAGACAAATAACACATCATTTGGTCTTAATTAGAATACAAACCAGCATCCCTTTGCACTGATGGTAAACCCTAGCAACAGGCTTTAAAAAAACACAAGGAAATAAGACCTAACCTTTTGATACTTAAATTCACATTAGTGATTTCTGTCTGCCAATTTTCACCCTTTTGTGTGTTTGACAAAACTGAAACACAACCACCCCATTACACTTTTTCCCTGTTATTTAAGAAAACTCCTAGAGTTTCTCATTCAGTATAAAAATTGGTTTTCTCCCGCCACCAAAATAGTACCTGCACTCCAAAAATGCAATGCAATACTGGAATTATATAATATAAAATATCATTGTAAAAGTGACCTTCGATAACAAAACATTTAGTTTGTGTAACTTCCTGTGTGAAGGCCACAGTCTTCCAAAAATGCTTTTAAATACTTTAATAGCTAAAGGTCATGTTTGCTATTTCACAGAAGGTAAACGCAAGCAGAGCATTGGTAGCATATAAAATATACAAATCCTCATTAAAGACATGGTATCGTTGACCATTGGAGGTTTATTTCACACAGCTGAGTAACAGTAAAATATAATTTACTAGAGCTCAAACATATTGATATAAAAACTACTTTATGCACTTAAGTAAAGGGCTGGAGTGTAGCTAATGGACAAAAAGAGAGACCTTTATACATGCGTTTCAATGTAAGAGTGAGTGTGCGCTAAGGAGGCTATAAGTGCATCAACCTCAGACGAGCCATTAACAGAGTCCCTCGGGGTGCTGCTTTGATAGATGTCCATGAAGAGATCAAGGTACATTTGTTTCCATTCTTGAAAGTCTCTAGATGTCAAAGCAGGATTATCCAGAACTTTATCTATAATGGCTACTTCTCCTTCCCTGGCCTGTGAGAGAAAAGGAACAAGCAAAGAGTCAATGAGAGTGATGAGTCACTGGCACAATCGATCACATGGGTGGAAGGAGAGAACAAGGGGAGGAAACTCAAGCCACGGAGACCCTAAAAGCAGGGGGACCATCTGACTGCTATACGTCTGCTTGCAAACAGGAGCCCTTCCTACAGGGCATCACACATCGCCCGGTGGGGCTAGGGCATCCCTCGCCTTGTCCAGCATCCTCAGAAATAGTCCCTATTCCCCCTCCTCGCCCCTCGTTCAGCTCAAGAAAAAGCAAGCCCCGTACTGTTTACTATTAGCTGCTTGCATTTCTCAAGATGGGTTTCACACGACAAAGTGCCATCTGTTTGCTCTTCTTGATCAGCATAAGAAATACTGCGTGGGTGCGTGGGATGCAGACAGATGGCCTCTCGCCCGCCAGCAGAGCTAAGCCTTTTTTAGCAGGCTTGTCATGGGGACATCTGAGCGCTACGTTGCAAAGGCTTGTGGAAGGACCCCCGTGTTAATGATAACTCGTCTTCATTAAAGATCCAGCGTATGCGATGGGCTGGCAGGCTGCAACCTCCTCTTACCACTGCAGTGGCAAGGAGAAGGCAGAAATGGGTAAAATCTAACATAGCTGCTGGTATCTCCTTACCCATCATTGAGGCAGGGGATGTGGCTGTATCATAGTCACTGGCCAGTGATTAGTTTATCAAGAGATGAGAGGCAGCCAGTATGGGTCAGAGTAAGCCCCTCTGATAAACCCGTAGCCACTCGCGGTTGTTGCAAGTGGTGGAAGCTGGATGCAACAGACTTAAGCCTTGGAAACACAGCTAACACGCAGGTTTTCAGCACTACTCCTCTGCGCAGGTATCGTGTGGTCACCAGCAACCTCCCCTCTATCCTCCCTGCCAGACGGGTTTCATGCTCCTCATTGCTAACTCACATTTTCCATGTCCATACTATGAGTACGTCAAATCTTTCTGGGGAGCATGTCAAAGGGAAATATTAAGCTGTGGCAGCCCAGCGTTGGTGGGAGAGGGTCAGAAGGGTCAGAGGCATCACCCATAAGCAGTAGGTTGAGAAGTATTTTTCATGGTTTGCAAACAGTAGCTAATTAACACTGTGCGCTAGAATACTCATTTTCAGAAATGGAGGTGCAAGCTGCGAATGACCAGTGGAAATGAAACCAGGGGAACTCCTGATTACCATATCTCTGCTTGAACTACCATAACCTGCTTCTCGCAGATTGTGGCTGGTACCCACACCTCCGCACTACCAGCCAGGTAGCTCATACTCGCTGGCAGCAGAATGATTTCGTGTTGTGTCACAGGAAAGAGAGCAGAGGGGTCTTTCATTAAGGACTTAGATGGTGGAATAGAGAGCCTATGGACAAGAGCTAGAAGCAATTTGGAGGGCTGTCTCAGGCTACTCATAATTTGGATAAATTGAAGGAGAGTTCAGAACACCAACTCCGACAGGCCAATGCAATTGGCTGAGCATTCAGGAAGGAGAAATCAAAGGCACTGATAAAAAGCAAGAATAACTGATGAGGTAGCAGCAGTAGCTACGACTACCAGCAGTACGGCAGAAGTGGAGCTCTGGGCTATAACGGAGCTAGAAACTCGTCATGCGTTACCATGATGCCATTGCAAAACAGGCACGTGTCACTCTACGCTGTTGCTGTACGCAAGAAACAGCAATTATCTGTCTTTGGTACTTGCTGCCATTGTGTTTTCAATTATTGCTGTCATGCACTTTAAGAATGATTTATACTAATCAAGGTCCAAACACAAATGGCGACAGGTTTAGAAAATACGGCTCATGGACAGAGAATGAACAAATTGTGTTTGCTTGGTCCAAAAGAAAGAAGTCCCAGAGAAGCATGAAAACAGGCATCCGCCGGGTAAAGGGGGTGCGCTGTTTTTGGAATTCCCTGGAGGAAAGCAATTCCATTTGTAGGAAGCCACTGGCATAATGTAGCTCAGGTATCAATAAATGCTAACAAGAAAGACAATTAAGCATGGCAGCAAGCCATACTGAATGACAGTTTTGGTATGAGTGATCCCACCGTGGTGCAAAAGCACAGATACAGAGTGAACCTCCTGCCACCCCGACGTGTCTGGGAGTACTGTGATTTTGTTTCAGTTTCTCACGCTTGTAGAAGTCATGTGGAAAGCCTGTATATCTTGACCTTTTCTGCCAGCCTCCAATCCTGTAAAGACTCACATACCCAGATAATACCACAAGTAGCAGTTGCCTTCAATGAGATGGTACCGTGCAGAAAGTTAAGCATGAGTAAGATTTTTTCAGGATGGGAGCCCCACAGCATGAACATAATATTGCTTAAATGCTTCTCTAGGTGATGGAAAACTAAATTAATTAATGTTGATAAAGCCCTCTTTGATGAAAGCTGTTATGAAATCCACTGTACAATTATCTAGTGACTTGAAATGTGGTAATTTAATATAGTTAACAGGGTCCCTGTGGAAATCCAGCATCTTGTTTTCTGAAATCTCTATCAGGACAGAATTGAAACTGCTGTAACAAACAAAGAAGCTGACAGGGAGGCTAAATGAGCTGTGGTACATTTAGAATAACCATAAAAATCTGGTTTTCACTATCATTGCCACTATCTATTTATTTAATCACGCCTACTGATTAAATACAATGATCCTATCAGCTTATGCAGAAAGCAAGCACACAGTTTCCTCCTGGACAAGCTCAGCAATCGGGAAATAATCAAGTGTTGTAAAAGGTACTGCTCCCTTCTGAAAGGCTGGCTTTGCTTAACTTTAGACTTCGCAATTACTGAGTGAATGCGTTTTGGTAAATGAAAATGTTCAGGGACAATAAAGGGGTTAAGGTCTCCTCTGATAATTTGGTGTCAAATTCTGTTAAACTAGCTAGAGGAGGAGCAGCTAACTGAGATTTTTATCTGCGCAGAAATAAAAACTGATCCCCTCACCTCGACGGCTCTCCCAAGGCACATTTTTCTCTGCTTCGCAAACAGCGCTTCCCCATGTCTCCCTTGCTTGTTTTGCACACTAGGTTCAGCCTGGACTCCAGCTGCGCACAATTAATCTCCAAATACAATACTGTCTGATCCAACCCTGGGGCAGGATTTTTCCTCCCTCTTTCATCTCACCTTTAAAGTGCTTTTCAGAATTCGCAGCTGGTGCAGTTTTTCATTGACTACTGGATCGCTACATCTCTTTACAAAAGATTTCTTATACTCCAGCTTAGTGGAAATCCGGTGTTCTCCTAAAGGAGACAGGCTGGCCTGCTCCAAGGCTCTGTACAAATCTTGCAAGGAGTCTGCTGTTTTTTCCTCTATCGTTTCAACTGTAAGGAGAAAAAGGAAAAAAAAAAAAAAGAGGAAAAAATAGAGAAAGGAACAATGTATCATTAACATGATTACAGGAAGATCTATCAAAAAGCTTCGCAAAACGTTTAACAGGTTTAACTAGATCATAAGGAGAACATTTCACACCTGCTAAGTTCCAGAAAAAAAGTGCTGGGATTGTAACTGCTCCTTCTCGCTAACTATTGCCTCCAGGAGAAAGGGAGAAAAACTTTCAAGAATGTAAAGTCTTGACCCGCAAAGACAGAAGAAAAAAAAGAGAAATAGTGCAAGGTGTAGTAATATTACAGTGACATACTTTCAGAAATCGCATCTCTAGTACTGCAGTTAAATATGCTGGTGACATCGTTATTACAGGGAAAGGAAGCCCTGGAAGCACCCTGCTGAGGAAGGTGATCAGGGATCGGATCTCGGGCCGAGAGCGCTGATACGGCATTCAAGGTTATGTTTACGATGCTGGCCTTGGAATGACATGTCGTTTTTCTTCCTAGAAAAGTCCACTTCTTTTTGGCTCTTATTTTTGGTACTCAGGAGTGTTGTTCGATAGTCAGTAATACTGTCACTTGTGGTGTCTTTTTACTCTACTATTA